GCTTTGAACTCAGGTCATCCTGACTCCAGGGCCAGTGCTGTATCCACTGAGCCACCTAGCTGCCCCAAGATTTTTTTTTTTTAAATTTGACTTTTGGTGTTGGATATACATATTGATCATTTGAATGACCTAATGCACCGACAGGTTACCTGAGTCTCAGACCTCACAGCCATTATTTGTGCAGAAATGAAAAACTGAGAGGAAAAACAGAGATGACCTAAGCCTTTGATCTAAGCCCGAGGCTTAGATCAGCACCAAATATATTGGACCTCAAGAATCCATGTTCCCATTCCCTTGGGAACATAAATTACTCAACTTCTCTAAACTTCTGCCCTGACGCTAAGCCCTCCTATGTGAGTTCAGATTTATTTAGATAGCTCCAGATAAGATTATGCTTCATAACTCATCTAGTTGTCCATTGAGGAGTCATTTGCTCTCCCTCTGTGCATTTTGAACCTCTTGTTCTGGGCACATTAATCAAATCAATGATACCGTTGCTTTCTGAAAGACTATCAGGTGACTGCCCCATAGATCAACTCACCATCCCAGTGGTATCCTCAACCCACCCTCCCTTCTCTGGCTCCACTAAATGTGCTGTCTCCCTTTATTGTAATGTAAGCTTCTTGAGGGCAAGAACTGTTACTTTTTTTTTTTTTTTTTTGCATTTGTATCCTCATTTCAGAGCATCTGTAAAGTGAAAGGGAGTTGGATTAAATGACTTTTAAGGACCATTGGGATGCCCATCACTAGCATAGATACATTGTAAGCTCTAAATAAATGGTTTTTTGTTTGTTTGTGGAGGATGAGGGGGAAAATACTATTGATTCTACCACTTTTTTAGTCATTTGTAACTTGTAAGAAAGTAATTTCATAAAATGGTATAGTCAAATGCAGATATCAAAGCACTGAAAAAATGAGTAGTAAGGAAGCAGAGATTATAAGTGTTGGCTCTTCATTGTAAGAATTTAATCCTGTAGGGAAGAAGGGATGGGAATAATTATGTTTCAGAGTTGACATAAAGGTTCTAGTTATATATCTGGGAATGTAGAGGAGGGTTGCAGTGAAAAACTGTTAGCCACTCTTAAAGCAAATTGTCTTCTGATTTCTTTAGCATTTCAGGTTTAGTGTACATCTTAATATATACTTTCTTCACTAATGCAAAGACCACCATGTCTTAGTAGATGGTCTTTCATGAGTTATTTTGAACAAAAAATTCAGCACAGAGTGATCAGCCTTCTAGAAATGAATTTCTCCAAATTTAATGAGAATGGTCCACTGAGCCCATGCTTTTGAAACCTTTCCACCTCGTTTAGAACTTCCCAGAGCTCATCCACAGTTGACATAGCCTTTGAGAACCCAGGTCACCTCTTACCATGAACATGTATTAAAGTAAGATTTTAGTAGAGGGTTCTCCCAACACTTGGAAATAGAAATAACTAATTCAACCATGTCACAAGGCTTGTTGCTGAGATTCAGGTTGCTTTACTGTGCTATCAGTTGGTTGTCTTTATCAAATATAAACATCAATTAAGAGGAAACTAAGTCCCTTAGCTTTTTCTCTTAGAAATAACTTGTCCCTTGGATCATTTGACTAAGGAAAGAGACTTGATGAATTGCTATATTTTTTGTTATTTATTTTTCATCTTCATTCCTAAATTACTAATAAAATGTCTCAGTATCACTCCCTGAAAAGAATGATTTCCCAGCTTTTTCCTGAGGAATCAAACGTAGAGGAAAGGGCTTACTTAGCAGTTCATTGATATATAGGATGGGAATTGTATGACTGTCAAGATACTTTATCATTCTATCTTGAACTGAGAAGGACATTTTCAATAGTCAACCCCTTGGTTTAAATTGTAAGCACACACACAAATTTCAGGGGCATTGTAGCTTGTTAGTATCTGCAGCATCAGGAAAAGTTAATATTTTTATCTTCTAAGCATTGATGTTCATTTTATTGTAGTGTTGGTCATAGGTCTCTGTCTTGATTAAAATAAATACTGCTAGAAATAGAAGTAAAATTTGCAAGTCAATTCCTTTAACAAAATTAGGAATGATGTAGACCAGTGGTATCAAACTTATGCCTGCAAAATCACTGAACCAGAATAAAATGTAATTTGGAAATGTTTAACAAAATAAACAAAGCTGTAAAACAATATGAATGATGTTAATTTGTGGTTTTCTAAGTCAGTATGTGGCCTGCAGGGATCTATTTCTGTTTGAATTTGACGCCACTGTTGTTGACTATAACTTTAGCATTTTCCTTGGGATTATTGATACTCAGCTAAACATAAGTCTTAACACAAATTTTGAGCAAAAATTTCTGAGACCATAATTTATAAGCTTAATTCAGTGTTTTACTACTTTAAATGTTTACCAAGCATTTAATTTGGTGAGCTAATTACACACACACATACCCCTCCATATGCATATTCAGGTCTCAGAGTTTTTATGTGTGTGTATGAAATTCTGCCATTCTGTTTGCAATTATATGTAGACATATATATATATATATATATATGTATGTATGTATGTATGTATGTATGGAATTCTGCTCACTATATTTGTTATAAGTTTTTTTGTATTCTTTTTCTTAGTAGTGGGTGGTGGGGTAGTGGGTGGATGGAGGCAAGATGATGGTGAGGGGGGATAGCAGTAGTGATGGGGAAAAAAGAAAACTACTGAAACCTTTTTTTTAAATACACCGAAGAGAATAGAGGGAAGTTCAGGAGGAAACACAGATAAGCAAAATGCTTTTGAAAGTAATATGTAGTATTTATTGTATACCTTTTTAAAAGCAAGAAATATAAAATGAAAAATCACAATTTCATATGGAGTCCTTTTGTGTTCTGGTGTATGTATGGATGTTTCTTTCTTTGACGTTTCTGTTCAAAATTTTTAAAAAGAGGGAAGAAAAACTACTGTCTCTAACTTCTCAATAAATTCCTGTGAATTACTAGATACTTCTTTCCCCGTTCTTCCTAGGTCATACCTGATCTTCTGCATAGTATCTGATTTTACAATTTGTTTGGGCATATTTTTCCTCCATTATTATGAGCTCTCTTGGTCAACATACCAAGTTTCTGGATAAACATGCTATTCCTGATTCTTTTTGAGTTAACATTCTCTCAAGTCAGTGGTACGGTGGAAAGAGTTTGGAGCCAGGTAACCCGGGTTTAAATTGTAGTTCTCCTTTCTGCTGCCTGGGTGACATTAACCTCATTGGGCTTCATTTAGCACATTTAGAAAATTAAGGGTTTGAACTCAATGATCCCTTAAGTCCTTTCCAGCCCTAGCTCTGTGATCCTATCTTAGATTATGATCCATAGGTCTTCAGCACTGTCTGTGTAGCCAGTTTTTCCACTCCCCATTTTCTCTTTTCCCTTTGAGAGTGTCAGCTGGTAGCTCAATTGTGTCCTCAGCATCTATCCTGGATCTTCTTTTCTACTTTCAGTAATCTCCTCCTCAGCTCCCCTGGTTTCAGTAATCCCTCTGTGCAAACACCTTCCAAACACACATGTCTGCATCATCATTCTCTTGGGTTCCAGTCCTGTATCACCAGCCGCCTGTTAGACATCTCCATTTGAATGTCCCATAGACATCTCAGACTCAACATGTCCAAATAGAACTCATTGTCATTCTGCCTAAAGCCACCCCTCTACCTAAATCATCTGTTTTTATTGAGAGTACTGCTAACCTTCCAATCACCCAGGTTCTTAAGGTTAGTGTCATATTTAACTCTTCATTTTATCTCCCTCTCGTCCCCCCTACCCTCAATTAAATCAGTTGCCAAGTCCAATCAACTCTAGGTCCGCAATGTCTATCATGTCTGTCCCCTTCTCTCTACCTACATGGCCACCACTCTAATTAAAGCCCTCATTACTGGATTGTTGCATTAGCTTCCCAATTAGTTTCCTTGTTTCCAGTCCACCTTCTCTAAAACAGCTACCAAATTTATATTCTTACTATATAGCTCTGACTATATCATTCCTTTGTTTAAGATGCTTCATTGGCTCCATTTTGCTTTCAAGGATGATATCAAACTCCTTTCTTTGACACTTAAAACCCTTTACAATCTGCCTCCAATCTACAAACATTTCCAGCCTGATTTCACATTTTTTTCCAATCTATGTTCCATTCAAATAGGCTTGCTTGCCGTTTTCCACGCATGACATTACATCTTTCATCTTCATGCCTTTCTGCTGATTGTAACACACACCTAGAATGTCTCCCTCCTGACCTCTATTTCTTGGAATCCTTATGTTCCTTCAAGGCTCACTTCAAGTGCTGTTCTCTAACAGGAAGCCCTTCCTGGTCCTCCAGTGCTTAGTGATTTCTCTCCTCCCTCCCCACAAAGAATTACTTGTGAATATTTGGTATTGATCTGTGTACATGTTGTTTCCCTCCAGTAGAAAAATAAGCTCCCTGAAAACAGGAACCATTTTGTTTTGTCTTTGTATACCAGCACTGTCATGCCTTGCACCTCATAGACACTTAATAAGTGTTTCTTTATTTGAACTAGTCCAAGCCCTTTAGTTTCCTATTCAAAGCAGAACAATACAAATACATTACAGGTTTCTTCTATCAGTATCATTAAGTCATATTACAGGTCAAATCATGTCTCCTGAATCTAAAGTTAATTATACCATGTATATTTTCCATAGCATTTCACCCAAAACTCAAAACAATACATTCTTTTTTGCCTTCCAGTACCATCATTTTAAGAGGATTCATTTTTACTTATGTCATATACCAGTAACATTTTAAGAGGATTCAGTTTTACTTATGTCATACACCTACTCCTTACTCTTTTTCAGCTTAGTAAACTTGGTGTAGTGTTTATTTATTTAGATGGCAACAGAGCATCATTATCTAGCTAAACAGAACTTCTAAAGTTTAAAATGTTAAAATTTTTTAAAGCATATGTGGTTTTTGTATTTTGAGTAACTGGGACATTTGGGCAGATATGTTTCTTCATGTTCCTAATCTTTTCTTTTCAGGGGGAGTAAAGCTTGGACTAGGGGATTTCATTTTCTACAGTGTTCTAGTTGGCAAAGCCTCAGCAACAGCTAGTGGAGACTGGAACACAACAATAGCCTGTTTTGTAGCCATATTAATTGTAAGTATAACCTAACAAATGATTAAATACCCCGAGGCTCAGCTGTGATTATCCCATCCCTTTAAAAGTAAGCGTGGCAGTCATATGAAGAAGTAGCCATGCTAGAGAGCAACCTTAAAGGGGATAATCAGAGTCAGTTATGTTCTCAGTAGCCTCTCACAAGGTGGGGACTATGTTATGAGATGACAAAACCTTTTATTGCTTTTTTTATGTAGTATCTTTTTAACAGCTTTGTGTCCCAGGTGTTCGGCCAGCTCTTAGAACATAATGGTTATAGACCATCATGGCTGTCATTTTTTGGTAGTGCAGAAAGATGAGCACTGAATTTTTCACATGTGTGCTTTAAGCAAATCTAATTTCACATATTTTTGTTCACTTATCTTTCTGTGAAATATACCATCTTTGTTGTGCAAGTGAAGTGTAGATGTGTTAGCATGACGAGAACCTTAGTTTATACTATTAAATTTTTTGTTGTTGTTCAGTCATTTCATGTCTGACTCTTTGTGACTCATTTTGGGTTTTCTTGGCAAAGGTACTGGAGTGGTTTGCCATTTCCTTCTCCAGCTCATTTTACAGATGAGGAAACTGAGGCAAATAGGTTTACAAGTGACTGGCCTGTGGTCACATAGCTAGTAAATGTCAGAGGCTGGATTTGAACTCAGGTCCTCCTGACTCCAGGCCCTTCACTCTATCTATGTGCCACCTAGCTGCCCCCACTATTGGATATACTTTAAAATATCTACTATAACCACTGGGAATTTGTTTTTGTTTTTTTCCTTAGACAAAATTGCATGCTGCATATCCTTCTCCTCAAATTTTGTAGTTAACTTTTAAATAGCTAAGGAAGAGAATGAATTGCACTACAGTTTCTTCAAGTTTCAAGGAAAGCTAGATATTTCCTCTAAACATAAGCCTTGTTTCTAGTTTATCCCATTAGCAATCACTTCTCCTTGCAACATAGAGCATAAAGGATAAAGTTTCTATGCTTGAGGGGTCATCCACGGCAGTTTTCATCAGCTCAACTAAAATTCCAGGGACTGAAATCTTTTCAGAAAGGAAGATTCCATCTCTTACTGTTAGCAGTTGTAGAATTTAGTGGTTTGTGTTCTCAAACACTGAAATTTTATCACTTTTCACTTCTCCCATTTCTTTCCAAGGCCAATCTGAAGATTGTAAAAATTTGAACTATTTTATGTCTAGTAATGAAAATTTTTTCCTTTTGAAAAATTTGTTTGAATTTTATTTCTTGCTTGAAATTGTGCAAGTGTATGAAATATACTGAATCATTGTAACTGGGTTACTATAAACCAATGAAATGAGTTTTGCTTTATTTTAGACTAGGAACCTCAAAAAGTTTTTTAATGACCTTCCACAGTGTTAAAAAAAAATTAGGATTTTTAAAATTTAACCTAAAAGAAGAGTATTCAATTGGTTAATGATTATATGAAGCAAAAACTCCTGATTTTAATAGCAACATTGAATTGTAAAGTGGTTGCATGAGTGCGTTTCAATTTATGGCTTCTTTCTACGTTCTCTGCAGGGTTTGTGCCTTACTTTACTGCTTCTTGCCATCTTCAAGAAAGCATTGCCAGCTCTTCCAATCTCCATCACCTTTGGGCTTGTTTTCTATTTTGCCACAGATTACCTTGTGCAGCCTTTTATGGACCAGCTAGCATTCCATCAATTTTATATCTAGCACATTGAAAATTGGAATCCCATGGATTTTTCTCCTCTGACTGTAGTAAAATCTGGAGAGGACAAAAAAGTTTTCTTCCTCATGGAACAGTTTCAAGATTCCCAGCTGGACTCATCGCAGCTTTCTCCCAGTTTTTTGTGAGAACTTGCTTCCCTGAACACTGAAAAGGCAGTAAATGGTTTTAAATATGTTGATTTTTTTTTTTTTTTTTTGCTACAAGAAGCCGCCTGGATTTGTGAAATAGAAATAGGAGGAGGACAATAAGCCAAAAAGTTGCTGATGCTTCTACCAGCAGTTTACCCCTTGGTCACAGGTAGATACCACCAACACTACAGACTCTCAGGACTACCATTGCCAAGAGGTGAGATGAGGGAAGCGGTTAGACCAAACTGATCTTTATCTGCACCCACACGTTGAAAAATCAACCCAACAAATCTGTATTAGTTAAATGTTGAACCATTTGGGGAATCGCCAGGTGGACAGACATCTGCAAGCCAAATGGAATGGAGAAAAGGGAGGCAGCTGCCACTTCCAGACTTCTATGCTAGAAGTTCAAGCCATTTTCAAGTAAGAGAATCTCTTCCACCTTGGGTCAAGCCAGGTGCTTAGGCAGATTTTAATGGTTTATGTTCTCAAGCACTGAAGTTTTATCACTTTTCACTTTTGCCATTTTTTCTCAACTTCAATCTGAAGTAATTTGGGCTAGTCCACGTCAAAGGACTTTGGTTCAAGATTCAGTAGATATTGGTGGTAAGGGGACTGTTGTTCAAAGTCTGTTCCTCACTGATATTCTCTGAATGCTTCTGGATATCCAGCTAAATTTCTGTCCTTTCTTGCTGTGATAGCAACATGTAATTAGTCTTTTTTTTTTCCCCAAAAGGCACAGCATTCCAAGTTCACCTTTCCCCACATATCTTCCGTATTTTCCCCCTTCACTCCAAATTGCATGTAATTCTCCTACCCAAGTAAGTAAGACAGATAAGGTCTGTCATGGCAGTGGATGGATGACCCATTTATTTTAGGATTTTATCTCAAGCATGCTTGTGTGCTTGTAAATTGCTGCAGTTAGCCTTTTTTGTTGTAATTTCTTCAGTAATACACAGACTCCATCAAAAGTTTGTGGCCAAAAGCCAGGGAATTAAAACAAAATATAATGCTTTGTGATATTCTTCCTTTCCTGGTTTCTTTCTTAGTCTGACTCTTCGTATTTCTGTCAGCTGTCGAGAATTAGAATGAACTGCTGAAAGCAAATTATTTTTTAGGCAGTTTATGAATCAGTTTTGTTTAGCAAGGTTAGAAACTAGTATGTAGAAATATAAAGTATTTTCAGTCTACAAACCTGGCCTATCTGGAGGAGCATGGGGTAGGAGGAGAAGTCACTGATGAGGAAAGAAGAGTCCTCAAACAGCTAATAGGGCAAAACAAACCAAATGCTAAAGAGCAGATACCAAATCATTTATCAAAAACCTTACAGTTGGTTTTTTGTGGTTATACCTCTCCTATTGCAGGTTGTTTCAGAGTGTCTTTGTTTGAATTGGGGACAGTGAAGACACTAGTTTAAGCAACAGTGAAATTCGGTTCTATACAAGTATGCCAAACAAAGAAAATCTGATGACCTGCTCTTTCCAGAGGTTACTATCTCTAACTAAAGTCTGTGTGTGTAGACAGGGCACAAACTCTGTTGGCCCTCTTTACCTCAGAGAACCCTCAGCTTTAGTGATCAGACTATGTGCTCAAGAAGGAGACAGTGTTGTGGCTCAGGAACAGCCAGTGTCATCTCTGTGCCTAACACGTGTCTAGCTGTAATATATCTTCTAGATTGGGGCAGTTTCTTTTGGGGCCTGGAATATATGCACTCTGCCATTGGATGGCTTCTCTGGTTTATTATGGTAATAAGGAAAATATGTGTATTCACCTGGTTTGGGATTTTATGTTTAGGTAATGCCATTGTATCTAAATACTTGCTCATATGAGATTGTTTTGGGAACTTCAATGGAAATGAAGGATGCAAAAAGAAAGGATGAGTTTCAGAACATTTGATTGTTTTGCTTTTTTTAAAATCTTAATCTTTTCTTCACTTAATACTTTTCTCCTAGGCTTTTCTCTCACTTAAGTACTTTACAGCAGAAATATTATCTCCTGGAGTTTTACCTGTGATTCAGAAGCACTTAGATATATATCAGTTCATGATCTCAGGCATTACTTAGTGAAGCATAAAGCGAGTTCTTTTAAGCAAGGCTTCCAGATACTCTGTGTATTATAGATTTTTACTTCAAACCAGGATTCACCTAAGAGAAATTTGCTTATGTCTGTGTTGGCCATCCTGTGCTTTATTTTTCCCCATTGAAAGGATTGTGATGCTACATGCAAATCTGAGCCATGTCTGAACCAAGCTGCATCATAGCAAACAGACCATTGTATGTTCCATTAAGTAGAACCACGGACATCAACAGCATGAACTTCCCCCAAAATGCTCTTTAAGGAGAAGTGTAGAGATTCCGGAATATCAATTATGAGTCTTCCATAATGAAAAATGAATTAGGTCACAGTATGGAGCAGAGGAAATGCCAGATGTACACTTGAAAGTCATTCAAGGATAGGCAGCCACAGTATTCATCCCTTAAGTGTGGATCTGGGTATAGCTAGGAGTGGGGTTCTTCCACGCTGGGAATAGCACCACACATTGAATTAACCAACAAAGTGCAACAAATTCAGAAGTTTGATGAATTTCAAGTTTTTCTTTAAATTAAAATTCCCTTTAAAAGAAAGGAATTGAGGCAATAGGTGAGAAAATGGTAGATTTGTATCTAGTTTTGACACATAGCATATTTACAAAATAAAAGAGTACGTTTATGTAGAAAATAGTTCATAGGGTATATTTGGAAGATTGATGTTTGATGCCCTAGACTAGAAGTCACAGCTCTTTTTTTTTTCTGGCCAAGTACATTATTGTATTTCAAAGCTGTTTTTCTTTCTTTTCTTTTTTTATTTATACATTTAATTTTTACTACAATCAGCCTTTTTTTTTTTAAATAAACCACCCCTGTCCTATAGTACCTTTAAGCAAAACCACCTATCAGAACAAATTGCAGGTACCATAGCTTCTTATTGATGACATTTAACATTTAGAAAAGTGGAAATCATGACCTGTGCAGAACTTGGAAGAAAAGTATGAGAAAAGTCAGAAATTTATTATTAATTAACCACCCATCAAAGCAACAACTGAATATATTGTTTAAGTTCTGAATGTAGGATCTCCTCTCTATGTGTCATTTGCATCTAGTACTCTCCTTAGGAGTCTCCAGGACTGCAAACAATGTACCTTGCTCTTATCTGATGCTGCTGCCCTAAGGATCTCAAAGCACTTTTCACACAAACTGATCTGTACCCCACTTACAAAAGGGGAAATATAAAAACTTAAGAGAAGTCAGGTGATGTCAGAAGCAGAACTAGAGCTACATTCCTGGCTATACAAATTCCCCATTTTAATCACCAGACTGTGCTTGATCAGCAACAATTTTTTTTTTTCTGGAAGGAGGAGGCTATATTACCTTGGACTTTTCTAAATTTTTCAAGAGGTTCACCTGAACTGTGTTATTAGTTTGCTGTTTTCTAACATATGGATAACTTTAAACTCTTTAAAACATCAGAAACTTTAGGCGTAATGACTGTATACTGTAATCTGTAACCACTTTTTCATGGTTGTCCTTAAGGGCTCTTGCCACACGAACACAATTGACACTGAAAATTGCAATAATGCTGTCAGAGCCTTATGTAGCATGTGCTGTCCCACTCCACCTGGACCATCTCTGTGTGAGAAGCAGACTCATGAACTGGGTTGTGCTCATTTCAGGAATGAGTCTTCTAAGTGAACTAAGGCTTCTTACGTTCGCTTCCTCTGAATTTGTCCTTATAATATGTGACGGACAGTACCCCATTCTCCCATGTTCCCTCTTTGCCTGCAGATGTCCTAAACACTGTGCTGGAGAAGAGCTTTCAGAACTGGACAGTTGATCTCACTGATCTTTTTCTCTTTTCCTCTGGATCTCATGGCAGAGACTTTTATATCTTCAATTTGAGCATAGAGCATATCTTCATAATGTCTTTAAAATCCCAGAATAAATAACTTTGAAAAACACTCACGGACTTTCAACTCTTCACAGCCCTGTCATAAAAGAATGGTCTCTGAGCAGCTTATCTGGATACCATTATCTGGTGATCTTATTAGAGGAAGCACCTGCCTAAGGAGAGGATGCAGATTAGGTATTGCCTTGACCACCAGTGTAGTCCTGATCAGAAACCTACCACTTTTAACCTGTTGTACTTGAAAGCTGCCTCCTGCTGAAACAACTCGATGTCTCTCTGCACAGAGCAGTTTCAGAATATCTCAGAAAGAGGTACTACTTCTGGATGCTTGCTCTGTCATTAATATGAGGAGACGGTCACATCTTTCCTCAAATGTGCCTGACTAGAACTTCAGGTTGGACTATGCAGCAGGAAAAGTTTCCTTCTTAGGACATTTTCCTTTTTAAAAGAACAAGTATTTATTGGAACTATTGTCAGCAGCTTCAGAACTTTGAATCATGCAGTGGTGGCTACAGGGTTGTCCACACTGCAGTAGTAGCTTGGTTTACAATGCGGTTGGACATGCTGGAATATGGACTTCATGGGGATTCCTTTACTCTCAAGTGTTTGCTGTTTTGTTTTTGTTTCTACAGACACTGATTTGTACATAATCCAGAGAGAATGTGAAAACATCTTTTTGTAACACCTTTCAAATTCTTGATAAGATACAATTTTGATAGATTGCAAAATTTTCCTGTATTTGTCAGATTAATAAACTAAAGATCGCATGAATCCTAACTGCTAGTCTTCTTGCCTTAAGTATCATAGTGGAAAAATACTGGAACAATACAGAAATGAATGTGAAACAGATCAGAAGTTCATTTTCATTCTATGCTTTTATTAAGATGGTATAGATTATATAGCAAGCTATGTTTCCAAATGGTACAATTTTATAGGTGTTTATTAAAAGCTTCATTTCCTTAAAGAGCTCTTTCTTCAAACTTGTTTTCTAGGGAAAAAATTTTTTTTACAGTACTTTAAAAGACATTGTCAAAACTATTATAGCATGAAATAACGCTGCATGAAGGTTTATTGCAATGCAGATTTTTTATATGCTAGAGGAATATTTTTAGGTGGGAGCTGTTCTGTAGATCATACTGACAACAGCGTTCAATATAGATTTCATGGATCTGACAATGCACAGAATTTCCATCCACTTCACCTGTCCCCTTTCCAAACATTACAACACCTCTACCACCTTAATAGTGAATGACATCCACTTTGAGTCATATCCTGCTATGAAGAAAACAAAAGGGAAGTTATAGTCTTAAGAAGAAGCAAGCCAGGGAGGAGACCAACTCTCAGTTTCTTTTTGCCAAGGGTATTTGGAAGACTAAGAAGGGTATTACTCCTTCCATTGGCAGATGGCACAATTCATTAAAGTCTTAATGGAAGTAGACTCGCTGAGAGTCTTTTTCAGCTCAGTTCAAACACTTTTCACACATCCGTGATATGCTCGGCACTGGGAATAGTGACCCAAAAGGTAAAGTCCTTGTCCTCAAGAAGTTTACATTTTACTGAGAAAACTTGTTAAAATTTGGAGAGCTAGAGTTGGGCTTGGGGTGGTAGGGGTGGTAGACAGGGACCAGGGAAGACTTAACAGAAGTTGCCCCTGTGCTGAGCCTTAAAAGAAGAGGTTTTCTAAGAGAGAGATGAGGAAGAAGTGCTTCCAGCCATGAGAGATGGCTTGTGCAGTACCCAGTAATAAGAAATGGAAGGTCAAGTTTAGAAGGAAATCTAGTTGCTCAGTTTGGCTAAAATGTTCTGTTATTGTTCAGCTATTTTTAGGCACGGCTGACTCTTTGTGACTCCATTGGCTTTCTTGGCAAAGATCCTGGAGTGGTTGACCATTTCCTTCTCCGGTTCATTTTTACAGACAAGGAAGCAGAGGCAAATAGGGTTAAATGACTTGCCCAGGGTCACACAGCTAGGAAGTGTCTGAGGCCAGATTGGAACTCACAAAGATGTGTGTTCCTGACTTCAGGCTTGGCCCCCTATCCACTGCACCACCTAGCTGCCCGTATTACTGGAACGTAGATGGCATGAAATGAGCAGATTGGAAAGGTAGGTTGTAGCCAAATTATGGAAACTCTTAAATGCATTTTGGAAGAGGTTGTGTTTTATTATAAAAGCAATAAGGACCTCCTGGAGGCTTTTCAGTAGTGTAGTAACAGTCAGATCTGTTCCTCAAAATTATTTTGTCAGCTCTGTAAATGGAAGGTCTGGGGTGGATTGCCAAGGGGAGAGGGCAGTTGATTAAAATAGTAAAGATGAAAGGTGGTGAGGCCCTGAATTAGGATGGTGTCCATGTGACTGAGGAAAAGGGAATGAGAAATGTGGAAGCAGAATTGGCAACTGAGTGAAGGGGGGTGGGGTAGGGGAAAGCAGATAGGCTGGGGAAGAGTCACGAGTGACCTCAAGTTATGAACTTGGGTGACCTGGAAGAGGCTTCTCTTCGCCAGGAGCCCAGACAGTGGTATATCTTAGTGTTCTAATGATATCCCTAGATGGGAGCACTCAGTAAGAAATCTATAACATGGTGGGGTCAAGTCAAGAAGGGAACAAATTAAAATGATTTCCTAAATTGATCTAAGCCTGATTTTATTTTTGGCAGCTATTCAATATGTCTATCTAATATATGTACACGTGTGTGTGTGTATGTACATATATATGTATATATATGTGTGTGTGTGTGTGTATATATACATGTATGTGTGTGTGTATATATGTATATATATATATGAGGTAAACACACATGTATGTGTAGTCAGGACCCATGATTTCCATTTAAGAAGGTTGTATTGTGAAGATTTCCTCCACCAGTGTGGATTAGCAGCTCCTCTGTAACTTATGGTCTTAGGACCTAATGCAATGAGGGGCAGTCAGTTAACAAAAATTAAGTGGCTTACTATATCCTAAGTACTATTCTAAGCTCTGAGAATACAAAGAAAATTGAAACTGTTCCTGGCTTCAGGGACCTTACATTTGATGGGGGAGACAACATGTTTAGTCACTCACTATCTGGTTCGTGGTCACAGAACCAAGGAGACCTGAAGACGGGAACTGTGTCTAGAGGTGGCATTCCAGAGTGAAGAATGGTCATGGATCCTAGGCGTGTACTGAGCAAGGAGCAAATTCAGAAGCAAGCAACTATGTTGCTCTAACCCCGGGAACAGAGCAGAGTCTCATTTCTAATCTCCAGGCCAGACTGAAACCTACAGCAGAATAATCAGAGCAGAGAGCCACAGACCAAAAGGGAGCCTACAGTTCTGAACTCGACATAAAGAGCCTTCCAGTTAGCACACTGCTGGAACTCCAGCCATGGTAAGCTGATAATGACTGGCTGAGAAAATGGAGCCTGGATATCATATTTCAAGAAATCAGAAAAGAAAACTGCCCAGATCTTCCAGAAGGAGAAGACAAAGTGGAAATAGAATGAACTCACTGGTCACCTCCTGGAAGAAACTCCAAAATAAGGAGCATTATGGCCAAAATCCATAACTTCCAGATCAAATGAAAAATACTGCAAGCAGCCAGAAAGAAAGAATTCAACTACCAGGTAGCCAGTAAGGATTACATATGATTTAGTAACCACTACTATAAAGGAATGAAGAGCATGAAATATGACATTTCAGAAGGCAAAGGATATAAGCTTACTACCAAGAGTAGCTTACCCCCCCCAAAAAAACAAAAAACTAAGTATAATTCTGCAGAGAAAAAAATGGATCTTTAATGAAATAGAGTAATTCCAAGAATTCTTAATGAAAAGACCAAAATAAAAAGGTAAACATGAGCATGCAATCATAAGGGACTAGAGGATAAACTGTTTACATCCTAATATGGGGAAATATGTTGCCCCATATCAAGGGCCTTGGAAGAAGTCTAATAAGACAGAGGGTCTGGGAGTAGTCTCATGATGTTTTGATTATTTTAAAAGAAGAAAAGAAAGGAATGGGAAAAGAATAGACTGAGGTGAGGGAAGGGAGAGGAAGTTTGAATTCACAACCAATGAAATAAAAGAAATTTAAAAAAAATTTTTTTTCTTTCTTTAGGCAATTGAGGTTAAGTGACCTGCCCAGGGTCACACAGCTAGTGTTTGGTCTGAGGCTGGATTTGAACTCAGGTCCTCCAGACTTCAGAGCTGTTGCTCTATTCACTGCGCTACCTAGCTGCCCCCCAAGAGAAAATATTAACAACTATTTTACCTCATTACATATTAACTGATAATCTGAATTAAATGAATAAATATTTATATAAATATAAAATGCCCAGATTAACAAAAATATATAACTTAAATAACTTGATCTGAGAAAAAGAAATTAAACAAGTAATAAATGAACTCTCAAAGGAAAAAAAAAAATCCTGCACCGGAAGGATTTACAAGTGAATTCTATCAAACATTTAAATAGCAAATGCCAGGGAAGTCACTAGATAGAGTTGAGGAGGGAGAGCGTTCCCAGGCATGGCAGACAGCCGGAGAAAATTTCCACAGCCAAGAGATGAAATGTCTTTGTTTATAGAACAGCCAGGAGGCCAATGTCATTGGATTGAAGAGTATGAATGAATATTGATGCATAAATTTTAAATAAAAAATTAACAAGGAAACTACAGCAACATGTCCACAAAAATATAAACTGACTGGATTTAATTTATACCAGGAATGCAGGGTTTACTCAATATTAGAAAAATTATAAACATGATTAAACATATTAATAACAAGAACAAAAATCATATGATTGTGCTGTAAGAAATGACAAGCAAGTGGATTTCAGAAAAACCTGGAAAGACTTACATGCACTGATGCAAAGTGAAGAGAGCAGAACCAGGAGAACATTATACACATTAACAACAATGTTGTGAGATAATCAACTATGAATGACTTAGCTTTTCTCAGCAATATAATGATCTAAGACAAATCCAAAAAACTTATGATGGAAAATGCTATCCACATTCAGAGATAGAGCTGACGAGTCTGAATGCAGATTGAAGCAAACCATTTTCACTTTCCTTATTTTTTTCCCCTTTTATTTGGTTTCTTCTTTCACAATATGACTGATATGGAGATATATTTTACATGATTGCATATATAACCTGTATCATATTGCTTATCATCTTAGGGAGGGAAAAGGGGAGGGAGGGAGGGAGAGAGAAGGGGAGGGAAGAAGGGAGAAAATTTGGAATGCAGAATTTTATATAAAAATGGATGTTAAAAATTTTCTTTATATATAATCAGAAAAAATAAAATACTTTTTAAAAAAACAATATGATTGTTGCATTAGGTGAATAAAAAGCTTTTGACAAGATATAATACCTATTACTGTTTAAAAAAAAAAGTAGAAAGCATAATATTAAATTAACCTTTCCTTAATATAATAAATGATATCTAGCTCAAACCAAGAGGCAGCATTATCTGTAATGTGGATAACTAGAGGTCTTTCCAGTAACATCAGGGATAAAGCAGGAGATTCTCATCACCACTGCTATTCAATGTAGAGCTCGAAATGCTAGCTATAGAAATGACAAGAAAAAAATTGTGGGAGTAAGCATAGCAAGGAGAAAATAAAATTAACATTTTTGCAGATAATATGATGATATACTTAGAAAACTCTAGAGAACCAACAAAAAAATAATTGGAACAATTAATAATTTCAGCAAAATTGCAAGATATAAAATAAGCCCACATGAATTATCAGATTTCTATATATTAAAAAATCCAGCAGGAAGAGATTGAGAAATTC